AAAAGAGAAAGAAATAAAGGGCATCCAGTTTGGGAAGGAAGACATCAAATTAGCCTTATTCACAGATACCATGATCTCATGCCTAAAAAAATCTAAAGACTGCTGGGTGTGGTGGCTCATGCCTGTAATCCCAGCACTTTGGGAGGCCTAGGGGGTGAATCATGAAGTTAGGAGTTCAAGACCAGCCTGGCCAACATGGTGAAACCCCATCTCCACTAAAGATAAAAAAATTAGCTGGATGTAGTGGCAGGCACCTGTGATCCCAATACTCGGGAGGCTGAGGCAGGAGAACCACTTCAACCCAGGAGGTAGAGGTTGTAGTGAGCTGAGATCATGCCACTAAACTCCAGCCCAGGCCTCCATCTCCAAAAAACAAACAAACAAACAAAAAAACAACTAAAGACACTACCAAAAAACTGTTAGAATTAATAAATGAATTCAGTAAAATGGCAGAATATAAAATTAATATACAGCCAGGTGCAGTGGCTCACACCTATAATCCCAGCACTTTGGGAGGCCAAGACAAGTGAATCAACTGAGGTCAGGAGTTCGAGACCAGCCTGGCCAACATGGTAAAATCCCATTTCTACTAAAAATACAAAAATTAGCTGGGCATAGTGGTGGGTGTCTGTAATCCCAGCTATGTGGGAGGCTGAGGCAGGAGAATTGCTTGAGCCCAGGAGGCAGAGGTTGCAGTGAGCCAAGACTGCACCACTGCACTCCAGCCTGGGCAACAGGGCAAGACTCCATCTCAAAAAAAAAAAAAAAATCCCCCAACCACAACTTCAATCTATTTTCTCTAAAGCTGTTACATCAGCTTTAATTGGCTTGTTTCCTCCTAAACTGCCTCAGAGGAATTGGGGATGGTGGTTGTTGGAAATAGGTTTATAACATTGGAAAGAATCCACATTGAGACAATGGATTACTCAGCAAGGCTAGTTTACTTTCTGCAGAAAGGGTGCAACTCCCCAGCAGTCTTGCCATGGGAGCACACCTGAACAAGGGAGACAGGGACATTTGTAACTTTCATAACCTGATGCAATCGCCCTACTGCTGCGTCCAGTTTCCACTGGCTGGAACAGGACCTCACATTTTATGCTTGACCAGACTACCTAAAAACTTGGAAATTTCCTGAATAGATAAGGGTAAAGAAGACAAGGAAGAAGAGGAAGCTAGTCAGGAGAAGGTCAGGAGGGCTTCCAAATAAGGAATGGCAGGCACCAGGGTTTGCAGCTTGCCTAGTTCTGTTCAGACATGCCAGATCGAGTCAAGGTAGCTGATTTAAGACGTAGCTGAGCCAGGCACAGTGGCTAATGCCTGTTATCCCAGCCCTTTGGGAGGCCGAGGTGGGCAGATCATGAGGTCAAGAGATCGAGACTATCCTGATCAACATGGTGAAACCCTGTCTTTACTAAAAATACAAAAATTAGCTGGGTATGGTGGCACACACCTATAGTCCCAGCTACTCGGGAGGCTAAGCCAGGAGAATCGCATGAACCTGGGAGGCGGAGGTTGTGGTGAGCNAAAAAAAAAAAAGAACATGGGAGTGACCAGGTGCAGTGGCTTACACCTGTAAACGCAGCAATTTAGGAGGCCAACGTGGGTGAATCACTTGAGACCAGGAGTTCAAGACGAGCCTGGCCAACACAGTGAAACCCTATCTCTACTAAAAATAGAAAAAATTAGTTGGGCATGGTGGTGCAAACCTGTAATCCCAGGGGGCTGAGGCACGAGAATTGCTTCAACCTGGGAGGCAGAGGTTGCTATGAGCAAAGATCGTGCCACTACATTCCAACCTGGGTGACACAGAAAGATCCGGCATCAGGGAAAAAAAAAACAAAAAACAAAAACATAGGGGCATATAAACAAACATCTGAGCAAATCTAAGATTTGATCCCTCTTTCAATAGTAATACAGGAAAAGACTGAATAGGGCCGAGGAAAAAAATAATTAACATTTATTAAGGGTCTACTGTGTGTCATATACAATTCAGCACTGCTGAGGCATTACCTCATTTCAATTCTCACAACAACCGAATGAAATAAAGATTATAATCCTAATGTTAGTGAGGGGGACATTTAGGCTTTAAGAAAATTTAAAAGCATGACCAAGGTGTCCCCTTACCCCCTCCTTTCCTCTCTATATGTTCTTTTGAAATATCATTGATTTAGAAGCCTGTAACCCTGCACTGAGATATTGTTTTAACCTCAAAGCCATGCTTTTCTACTCATGTTTTAAAAGATATGTAACACTACTTATCCATGCAAAAGATTTTTCTCAATAATGTACACTCAAACAAAACACCAAAATACATTATCAAAATAGACTCGCTATTTTCAATGGTGAATTTTAAAATAAGTGTTAAAACAGGAACTTAGGAAATAAATGCATAATGGCATTTTTTTTCTTTTTTGAGACGGAGTGTCACTCTGTTGCCCAGGCTGAAGTGCAGTGACGCTCACTGCAACCTCCATCTCCCGGGTTCAAGCGATTCTCCTGCCTCAGCCTCCCGAGTAGCTGGGATTACAGGTGCCTGCCACCACACTTGGCTGAGTTTTGTATTTTTAGTAGAGATGGGATTTCACCATATTGGCCAGGCTGGTCTCAAACTCTTGATCCACCCGCCTTGGCCTCCCAAATTATAGACGTGAGCCACTGCACCCCAACATGCATATTGTTTTTTAAAAAAGTAAGGAAAGTCACTTTAAACTCATGTTTTATGACCTAACTAAAGTCAAACAAAAAAGGTGGTTTTAAAAACTGAATTCACATATCTTCAGTCTAAGTCCAGTCTTCCACAACTTTTTTTTTCTCACAGTATTTCAAGATTTGTAACTCTTGATATATTTAGGCTATTTCTGATATTCTAGAGAAACAGCATCCTAGAGTGGTTAAAATCATTAGAAAAGTTAGTATCCAACAGATGAAGGTATAACCTCAATATGTAGCTGGCAATAAAACAATTTTTAAAAACTTGCAAGAGCACAAAAGCAAATTTACCTCTAATACATCAGAAGTGATAAGTTTCATCACACGATCACTTGGGTCCTTAAATTCTTCTGTAACTTCAGTGCGGTGAATTTTTTTCTTCATCCGATATGACAGCTATGTAATAATACATGCCATTTAAAATGAGTTTCTTTTAAACAGTTTTTTTTTAAAGTACTGAAATACACACCAGCGCTAAAAAACTGTCTATAGGTAAACACAGATAAAACAAAAGCAGCTGTATGGGTACATTTGTTAAATATTCTCGTTCCAAAGACTATTAGACTTCTTAACTAACCTTTTAGATGCCATGCCACATGCCTACAAATTCAGATAAGACGTAGAAATTGACAGCTAATGGCAGAACCAGAACTAGTGCTCCTCCAACTAGTGTCTCAATTGTCACAAGATTTAAAAAATAACACTTCATTAGAAGTTTCAACTTTTCACCAAAGAATTTTTAATAATTTTGTACCTCTTTCAGTAACCTCCTCTGACATCTGAGACATGAGCAAATGCAGATGCCAAATCTAATTTCCTCTCAAAACAATTCACTTAATATGTGGCATCCAGATACAATGCATTTAAAAGCAACAGCTAAATTTTTCTTTGCAGAAAAAAAAGGAGAAATTAGAAAATACCTTTTCTTATTTAAAAAGAGCTACAAGTCTTGAACATTATCAATACTCATTCCATTTTCTGTAGATTGAGAGGTTTTATGGACAATAAAGTATAATTCCACATTTTGAAAAAGACAAATTATTTTAGGCAAAATACCAGTTTGGGCATTGCTGTAAAGTGAAATGCTCTGTCTAGTCGTAGCTTCCTAAAAATATAAGCCGCATCAAAATGCTGTGCATTTACTAAATCTTGCTGAAATTTCAAAACTTCATCCCAATCCTTCAGGGCAACTCTGATCTGCAAACAGGAAAAAAAAAAAAAAAAAGTTGTACTAAATTTTTTTCGCAAACATACTATTATTTTTAAAATACTGTCGTTTCTATTTAAATCATATTTAATCAGATATTTATTATAAAAATATGGTACTTGTTTTACATTTCTGCTAAGGAAAAATAACTAAGTATTACCTTTTGTTTCGGTTGACACAGTTGGGTGTTATATAATCCATATAGCAGATACAAAGCACCAACTCTGATCTGGAAGGTGTATGGAGGTAAAAAATATCGCCAAGCCAAAGCTAAAGCTTCTTTTGTAAACATGTTCTTTTCTAAATTTCTCATTCTGCCACTAATAAACAATGAGAAAATATATCACGACTCATTAAGTGAATAAATAATGAACAAAAGCCAGAAGTATATACTTGTTTAAACAGTAGTTAATAATTTGATGAGGATCTCATACCCGATTGTTTCATGATTCAAGCACAAAGAGATAATTTTACACCAAGGCACAGGCAACAACTAGGTAAACATGATGCGGCTTCCAAAAGCATCAACTTTACTTGCCAAATTGAAAAGCAAGACAGAAGCAGTTTCAAATTATTACTGTTAAAACACATAATCTTAAAATAATCATTGTTATGTTACGGAACTATGTGCATTTTAATATATAATGAACATTTTCTCCAATACTTTTAGGGATTTGCACTAAATCTCCTTTGTCCTTGGGAAGCCTAGGTGAAAAAGTTAGAGAAACAGCACAAAGTAACCCACACTCCTAAATGTCCAGAGCACTGCAAGCTCATCAGAAGAAAGGAGGAGCAGACTAGAACAGCATACTCTAGCATACAACCAAAAGCTTTGTCCCAACATCCAAGAGAGCAACAAGGCTTTCTTGGCAATCAATCAATGAAATAACATAGGACATATATGTGAAAAGAAACTATCTTGGGCACCCAAGATCACTAAGGAAAACTCAAGCTGGAAGCTGCTTAGGGCAAACCTGCTTTCCATGGTATTCAAAGTCACTCCTCTGCTCACTGAGATAGATGAACATCTGCCTCCTTTGGAAAGGCTAATCAGAAACTCAGGAGAATGTAATTATTTGTGTAACACCGATCTGTGACCAGTAAGCTCCCTGACCAGTTCCAGTCTTCCTGCCTTTCCTTCAAATTGTCTCGCTTTCCAGGCTGAATCAATGTACTTCTTACATATATTGATGTCTCATGTCTCCCTAAATGTATAAAACCAAGCTGTGCCCTGACCACCTCAGGCACATGTCCTCATGACTTCCTGAGGCTGTGTCACGGGCCCTTCCTCAATCTTGGCAAAATAAACTTTCTAAATTAACTGAGACCTGTCTCAAATTTTTTAAGTTCACATATATTTTCTGTAGACATAAATAACATAATGAATAAACTATCTGAAACTGTTCTGCTGTGTTAACAAAAAATTTTAAAAAATAACAAGGCCTTGCCGGGCATGGTGGCTCACACCTGTAATCCCAGCACTTTGGGAGGCCGAGGCGTGTAGATCACGAGGACAGGAGTTCAAGACCAGCCTGGACAACATGGTGAAGCCCTGTCTGTACTAAAAATACAAAAATTAGCCAGGCGTAGTGGCACATGCCTGTAATCCCAGCTACTCAGGAGAATCACTTGAACCAGCGAAACAGAAGTTGCAGTGAGCTGAGATTGCGCAACTGCACTCCAGCCTAGGCGACAAAGTGAGACTGTCTCAAAAAAAAAAAAAAAAAAAACAAAAAAAAAAAAAAAAAAGAAAAACCCCTTAAAAAAAAAAAAAAAAAAATAGAAAGTATTAAATTTAAGAATTATCAGTGAGAATGGACCCCAGGCTATGCTAGGACAAGAGAAATAGAGCCAGCAGTATCAAGGGACAAAGCTCTCAAAGTAATTATGTCACAAGCCAGAGATCCGACACAGAGCCAGGATAACTTCACAAACTATTCCATTCCTAAAAGCTTCTAGGCATAGGCATTTCATAGCCTGACTCTTCTGATACTTCTGTGCATTACCCCCAGCTTAAAAGAGCTTAGAATGAAAAAGCACGTTGAAAAAGACATATTTAAAAAATATTTACATTCTACCACCAAATAGGTCAACAGTGAGAAATTATAATTGGCCAAGCATGGTGGCTCATGCCTAATCTCAGCACTTTGGGAGGCCAAGGTGAGAGATCACCCAAGCTCAGAAGTTCAAGACCAGCCTAGGCAACACAGCAAGACCTTGTCTCTACAAGAAATTTTTAAAAATTAGCCAGCGTGGTGGTGCGTGCCTATAGTCCCAGCTGCTCAGGAGGCTGAGCTGGGAGGATCACTTAAGCCTAGGAGATGAGGGTGCAGTGAGCTACGACAGCACCACTGCACTCCAACCTGGGTGATGAAGCAAGATCCTGCCTCAAAAATTAAAAAAGGAAAAAAAGAAACTATAACCAACTGGGTTCAAATAATCTTTTTTCATTAGAATATTGGTAAAAATAGGCCGGATACGGTGGCTCACACCTGTAATCCCAGCACTTTGGGAGGCAGGTGGATCACGAGATCAGGAGTTCGAGACCAGCCTGAACACTACAGCGAAACCTCATCTCTACTAAAAATACAAAAATTAGCTGGGTGTGGTGGTGGGCAGCTGTAATACCAGCTACTCAGGAGGCTGAGGCAGGAGAATCGCTAAGCCCAGGAGGGCAGAGGTTGCAGTGAGCCGAGATCACACCACTGCATTCCAGTCTGGGCAACAGAGCTAGACTCCATCTCAAAAAAAATGAAAGAAGAAAGAAAAAGAAAGAAAGAGAGAGGGAGGGAAGGAGGGAGGGAGAGAGGAAGAAGAGGGAGGGAGAGAGGAAGAGGAGGGAGGGAGAGAGGAAGGGAAAAGAGGGAAAGGGAAAGAGAGAGAGAGAGATAGCGAGAGAGAGCGGGAGAGGGAGAGGGAGGGGGAGAGAGAGAGAGAGAGAGAGAGAGGAAGAGAGAGAAAGGAAAGAATATTGATAAGAATAATGCCTTGCTGTTTGAAAATGTCCCGTGCCTCTCTTCATGATTCACATTAGCATTTCTCAGCAAATTCTTTCTGGTATCCCAAAATCTCTCTTCCATTCTCCACAATTGCTAGTTAAAACTTTTTCAACTCTCAGTTCCCATGACACTGTCTTAAAGTTCGGGCAGTCAGGTCTGTTTGCCTTCTATTTCTCCTCTACACAAAGATTTATAAAAATCCATTCTTGGCCAGGTGTGGTGGCTCACACCTGTAATCCCCATACTTTGGGAGGCCAAGGCTGGAGAATCATGAGGTCAGGAGAGCAAGACCATCCTAGCTAACACGGTTGAAACCCCATCTCTACTAAAAATACAAAAAAATTAGCAGGGCATGGTGGTGGGCACCTGTAATCCCAGCTACTCGGGAAGCTGAGGCAGGAGAATTGCTTGAACCCGGGAGGCAGAGGTTGCAGTGAGCTGAGATTGTGCCACTGCACTCCAGCCTGGGCGACATAGTGAGACTCATTCTCACCTCCTTTCTTTAAGTTTCAAAGGAAGGCTGATGCTATTAGAACATGGGAGAGGCCGGGCGCGGTGGCTCACGCCTGTAATCCCAGCTACTCAGGAGGCTGAGGCAGGAGAATTGCCTGAACTCAGGAGGCGGAGATTGCGATGAGCCGAGACCGNAAAAAAAAAAAAAATTATTGAGGACTTAGAATGCACTTCTGATACATCAGCTCATTTCATCTTTACAACTACTATGAGGTTTTATCATTGTTTCTATTTTACAGGTAAGGAAACTCAAGTAACTTGCCCCAAGTCACAGTGGACACTGCAATCAAATGCAGCCAATCGGGTTCCATAACCTATCCCCTTAACAACATCCCCACACTGCCTTTTCAACTATACTATTACAACAAAATGTGGCAAGCGGTGAGATAAAATAAAAACAGGGTGCTATGGGGGGAAAAATACACGAACAGCGTGCTTAGTCTAGAAGGGCAAAAAAGACTTCCCTGAGAAAGTCATTTAAGCCTAATCCTGAGTGAAGAATAAGGTGGATAAAACAAGACAGTTGAGGGGGAAAGCTCCAGGCTTAGGAAAAGCGTGCGGAGGGCAAAAAAAAAAAAAAAAAAAAAAAAAAAAAAAAAAAAAAAAAAAAAAAAAAAGAAAAAAAAAAAAAAAAAAAAAAAAAGCAGCTGCTGGAGCAGGAAAGTGAATGCATGGAGGGGACTGGTGGGCGAAGCTGAAGAGATAAGCCAAGGCCATTGAGGAATGGTCGTGGCAAGTCAGAGAATTGTAGCGTTATCCCAAAGGCAAAGGGCACTACTAGAGAGTAATAAGCCGGGGAGTGACATGATCAAATTTGCACTTTTGAAAGACAACTTTGGGCCGGGTGCGATGGCTCACGCCTGTAATCCCACCGCTTTGGGAGACCGAGGATCACGAGCTCAGGAGTTCGAGGCCAGCCTGGCCAAAATAGTGAAACTCCGTCTCCATTAACAAGACAAAAAATTAGCCGGGCGTGGTGGCATGCGCCTGTAGTCCCAGCTACTCGGGAGGCTGAGGGAGGAGAATCGCTTGAAACTGGGAGGCGGAGGTTGCAGTGAGCCAAGACCGCGCCACCTCACTCCAGCCTAGGAGACAGAGCGAGACTCCGTCTCAAAAAAAAAAAAAAAAAAAAAAAAAAAAAAAAAAAAAAAAAAAAA